TCTGCACTGCTCCTGCAAGTGGCGAGCCGCGAACACCATATCTATGGTGCATCGACCCGAACGGAATCCGCATTGCTCTTCCGCCACTTTCGGTTCCACAACCTGACTGACAAGGCGGTTGAGTATGATTCGGGAAATCACCTTGCGCACACAACTCAGCAAGTTGATACCGCGATAATTCGTGGTACATTGCTTGCTTCCTTTGCCCTTGTACAGTGGTAGCACAAGGGCATTGCGGTTAGCACCGCGTGAACGATGAGCGTGTTCGGCGTCGCGTATTTGGTTCAGGAAGAGCGGGCGAACCGCTCAGCACCATTATATCACGCACCAGGCTCCGATTGCTGCGCCACGTGTTGCGCATGCCAACCCACTGACTCCCGCGACGTGCATTGTTTGCGCACCGAGGGTGTGGATGGACGAAAAGGAGGGGATTCCAAGCGATGACTTGGTCGAGAGGAAGGAAGTCCCTCACTTCGAACTTGACGTCGGTTGGTGTTTCCCGACTGCCGGGCTGTGGACCGAAGGATGATGAACACGTTTGGTTGGATACACTAGCTAACATGGCGAATAGTCGATCTCAGTGGATTTGTGTTGTGAGTCTCTTTGTTCCTCCCCTTCCCACTCCAATAACCATCAAAAATGTACTAGCATTATGTTACTATTATAGCTTCTAAGTCTATATAGCTTACTGACTTACTTTTTGTATGGCTGTGTATTAGCTGTAATGTGTTTCTCGCCCTCGGCTAACGTGCATTAATGATGATGATGAGCACTAGGTCTTCCTTCAGATCAGCAGGCACTTCCTCAATCCACACGCGTTGCACCAACTGATGCAGTACATTCACTAACGTCGGTCCGCCGTCTTTCAAAATTTCAGGCGAGATCCCGTCGACACCGGCGCACTTGCCGTTTCGCAACTGGGCAGATACTCTGCGTCTCATCCACTCTCGGCCTGTCCACCAGACAATTTCACCTCGTGCTGCTTCAGACCGTTCAATGTAGGCCAGTCAATCTCCGGACGGTTGTTCAAGGGACAATTTGTTCAGGCCTTACAACTGCCGTGGCCCGATCGAGTAGTGATTTTTACTCAGTTGGATCGCTTGAAGGCTCCGACATTGACCTGTTTAATAGCGATAGGTGACTTCTTGTGAACTGATTTTAACCCGTTTTAACGACCCCGGCAATCGGTCTATTCGATGTAACTGCTGAATAATTATACTAGCCTGATGGAAAATTATCGAAAACGTATGTTCGCTAACATTGACTTTTGACAATCAAAATGTTTTCGCCAGATCTGCGTTATGTCTGCAATTTACGTACACGCAGCGCATGAACTACCATCGAGCAGCGTCCTAAGCGGCTCCAACCACGATCCATACACCGCCTTCAAGGAGTCAAAAAATTCCTTGTGTTGGCGGCGTTCGGCGTAGCACTCTATCTGCTTCGCTTTCTTCGTCCACTACGCTTCTTATTGTGACGGAGCTCTTGGATCGAATTCTGCGTAACTTACTCTTCTTCCCCAAATCACTGGAGTCTGCCACATGTGCAGCAAATGCTGCATTCTTCTCTGACACCAATGCGCCAATCGTCGCATTGTTCTCATCAAACGAATCATGCTGCTTACAGTTTGTGTGCCCCATGGTCTCCACGGAAGCAGCTGTCAGCTGGTCGCGAATGTGGTGCCACAGGTCGCCCACTGTGACTATGCTTTCCACATCACACAGGCGTGCAGCCATTCCCTTCTCCACCTCCATCATTTTCTCCTGTTCTTAGAAAAAGAATGTTAAATTTTCTCCAGTTCACGGCAGGGGTATAATACATAGGTTTACGGAATATGTGTGCAATTTAGTCTGCACCAACTTGTGATCAATGCTCTACCCAGCTCCATGCAGTACACGTGTCGTGCGCGCTTCACGCATGTCACGCTGCCTTACGCTGAGATTGTAGAGCAGGTGAGCGTGGCATCTCGGTGGGTGCGTCCAAGTTGATATATCACTCGCACTCATTGCAAACCGAGTGTTCGTGATCATCAGGCCATGAGTGGCACACAGTGACATTAGCCTGTCACCGTTCGCATTCGCTGAACCAATGCCATGCGGACCGATAACATCTGTCCACACTGATGCATCACGCCCAACGCGCGCGTTGAAATCACTCAGCAGCAATAAGTCGGTCACTCCTCGGCACAGACCGTATCACAGAGGATGAGTGTAGGATTGATCACGTGTGTCTTCAGGATAACACATGGTCGGACCGTAGGTGTTTATACAAGTGGTAAAGTTGCCTCTTCCGAGTCGTAGGCAAACAGCCATCAGTCACGCGCTGATGCCAGTCGGCTCAACCACAAGCTGGCTATTTAGGCAATTGGATGTTACAACTCCGACCCCATGTTCAAGTGGTGCTGAAGTGGCGTTGCCCACTCGGTAGAACGTATAGCAAGCAGCAACTTTATACAACTTACCTCGTTCAGCGAGCCGGGTCTCACTGAGTGCCACAATATCTATGTGGTAGCGCGCCAGTTCCATCGTGACCAGTGCAGTGCGTCGCTCGGGGCGCTCACTCGAGTTCCGGTCCAGTAGTGTGCGCACGTTCCAGCACCCGATGTTGAGTGCTTTGCGCGCAGGCATTCGATTGCATTGCTTGGCAACCGCACGGGTGGTTGTGCTTCGGAGATTTGTTTGAGGGACTGCACCCGGATCCTTTGGCTCAGTAGCCTTACCCACAAGGCAGTGGGTGATTTTGAGGTCCGCTTGAGGGACTCCACCCGAAACCGTTGGTTCAATAGCCTGACGCACAAGGCAGTGGGGAACAGATTCAGATAGGGAGTGTGATTGTAAAGAACCACTGGAATCTACTTGAGGTTCGTCATACAAAGTCTTTGATGATTTAGAATTTGTCATGTGGTTGACGACCATAGTAAGATACGCACCTGCGACCACGGCCAGTCGCAGGTGTGTTTTGGCGGGTTTGCACCAATTTGACCTGGGGCTTCCTGGCTTGAGGATGGAGTTTGGAATAGGATATTGGCAAGACGCCCAAATCTGACAGGTGAGGGGCTCGGGTCCTCGGCCAGAGCTTTCGATTAAATGTACACCCGAAAGTCAACTGGTCTAGCACATGGTCAGTTCACTGAATTGGTATGTGTCCTCGCTCTTAATTGGAAGAAAAGCGTAACCCAATTCCCACCCAGCTTTTGCCATGAGGAGGCGTCAAAGACATGAGCCCACTGCACAAGATTGACAGCAGCAGGTAGCCGATCTGTCTAGATCTAGCCACCACAAGTCTCAGGGCATCATGGGCTCTCCTTTCAGGTGTACATTTAATCAAAAGCTCTGGCCGAGGACCCGACTCCCTCTCCTTGTCAATATCCTATTCCAAACTCCATCCTCTTCGGAGGTTAGAAAGTGGTCGATGGCCCTCTTCCCGTAAAACGTAGCCACGGAAGACAACACGGTCACGGCTCGATTGGCCTAGAGCACGAGCGCCACTCATTGTCTCTGACGGTGGAGGGCACCTTCGGCTGCTTAGTGTTGTGCCACCGCCCGCCTGAAACCAACCAGCCCATGGTCAAATTGGTGCAAACCCGCCAAAACACACTTGCGACTGGCCGTGGTCGCAGGTGCGTATCTTACTATGGTCGTCAACCACATGACAAATTCTAAATCATCAAAGACTTTGTATGACGAACCTCAAGTAGATTCTAGTGGTTCTTTACAATCACACTCCCTATCTGAATCTGTTCCCCACTGCCTTGTGCGTCAGGCTATTGAACCAACGGTTTCGGGTGGAGTTCATCAAACAAACCTCCGAAGCACAACCACCCGTGCGGTTGCCAAGCAATGCAATCGAATGCCTGCGCGCAAAGCACTCAACATCGGGTGCTGGAACGTGCGCACACTACTGGACCGGAACTCGAGTGAGCGCCCCGAGCGACGCACTGCACTGGTCACGATGGAACTGGCGCGCTACCACATAGATATTGTGGCACTCAGTGAAACCCGGCTCGCTAAGCAAGGTAGGTTGCATGAAGCAGCTGCTGGCTACTCATTCTAGTGGGTTTGCAACGCCGCCTCAGCACCACGTGAGGATGGGGTCGGATTTGCAATATCCGACCGCCTCCATGTCCTGCTGGTGGGTGAACCAACAGGCATCAGTGCGAGACTGATGGCGTACAACTGATGCCATTTTTACAAGAGACTGGCTACTACCTAAATTTTAATTGCTCCATCTTGGTTTGAACGAATCGGACTATCCTGATATGTCACTTTTTGTTCTTTTTAAATTGTTGTCAAATATGTGGGCATTTGTCGACAGTCTTAGTTGCTTCTTTCAGAACCTTTTCTTCGTAGGCAGTCGCCCAGCACTGATTCAGGAATCTCAGCCATTCGACGGTCCTGGATAGCGAATCCTTCCTTAGTGAAACACCACCGAATATCGCTTTTCGCCATATCACCAGCCTGTTCGTTTGTGGTTGGAAAACATCGTTGAGACAAACATCAGCTTCTTTTTTGACTTTACAATTATTCATATCAAGAAAAGCACTTGACGACCATTTTGTCTCTTCTTCACTTGTCAGCAGTACGCATTTCATTTGTCCGGTGAGGGATAGAGCTTGTGATTGTTACTTTCGATTCACTGTTTACGACCACTAAGTCGCGGGAAGTGAACCGCAAATGCCGTGACCTGGTAACTAGCTGTGATTTATCACCACACACATCCTGCCCAGCCATTCCCACCTCGGACATGTAGGGAACAGAACCGCCCTAGCTACATTGATATTCAAAACCTGCTGCATTTTCTGGTTACTCAGTCACTGTCTGACGTTAACTGCTCTCACGCATTGTTTGCGACAACTGTCTGCTTCGCTCACACGGTTACTAGCTTTATAGAACTTCCCTTTCATGTAACACAACCTCGATATCTCCTCTTTCCTTTACACATTGTGTTGACATATTTCTTGTTCTCGTTTACTGTCTTCTTGGTGACTTCATTTGTTTTCAGGGAAACTTGTTCTAGTGCCAGTTACTTTCTGCAACGTGCTGCGCATTTTTACGTTCTCTGGCAGCGCAGCAGTGTTGTTGCACAATGGTGCTGACCTAAATTGTGATGACAGAGAAGGACCTAGACTTTCGGATCTGGCAAACCAAGCGTAAGTGTATGCAACCAACACTGTTGACTTTTCCAGTGTACATTTTGCAACGTGATGCGCCCACTCCGCATATGATCGCGTGCACGAAAGAGTTGGCCTACCGTCCACCTCAATATGGACTGGAATATCACGGACCTATTTCGAGGATGGAAACCGAGAGACTAATGGAGGATGCTCCTGATGGGGCTTATTTGATAAGAGAAAGCCAGCGGGCTCCAAACTCCTATACATTAGTGATTCGGTAAGGGTACGTTAGCGTAATTCTCGACTATAGATTCGATAATGTCGCCAGAAATTATATGCTGTTTTACGACGCCGAAAAGCAGCAACATTACGTGGGGGAAAAGTGCTTTGATACAGTGGAGATGTTAGTTGCCGACGGGTTAATACATTTTAATGTTGAAACTCGGGGTGCTGATGTTTTGCGGAAAATGGCGGAAGCAAATACTTACGAGAAAACCCCATTTTATCGAGTAAGTGCGTTCTTCCTGATTTCCACTTATGTATATTCTTGTACTTAACCTTTGGCTCTTATGTAGTGCTTTTTATGCGTCGGTCGATCATTGTATCGTTTCGTTTCATAGATGTTGTTTCTTGCGTTGTCTATCATTATTCCCGCGAATAACCGCATAGCTGTACCAGTTGTTTCGCTTTATTAGCATCGCTAGTTAGAGATACTTCACTGTTGGAATCAACGTCCGTCGTGTTGAACTGCCTCACTTTGGGTTGCTGCTCTCTTGTCTCATTTTGAAATCCACTGAGTGACACCTTGCATGTTTCTTTGAATCACATATAACATGCAAATCATTGCTTACTGACCATACAAACCGGAATCAACACTCCAGGCGGGGCTGGCTGGACATTACGCCGTTTCCTCAGAATTCGATTCTATAGCGCAGTGGTGTATGGACCGTATGTTTGGTATTGTTTACTTCTTACCTATCAGATGGGTAAGGCATTGCCAGTATACTTGAATACTGTGGGTATCGTTGTACTGACTCACTTCACCATAACGATCGGAAACGATCGGTTAGAAAATTAGACAAAGGACATAAAGATCTTGGCACAAGTGTTAAAAATCAGCGGAACGTGTGTGAATGCGAGCACAACTGAATTCTTGACTGTTGCGCGTGGGATGAAGTCTCTTACCCATCAACGTTTCATACCCCGAAGACCTTGTCCGGGAAGATGATAGAGCCATATACGCCTGTTTTCGTCTATCGGTTTTTTAATTTTGTGTCGGCATGCTGTTGACTGACAACCTCGGTGTTCTAACCATCAACCAATCCACTCCGACATGGAGATTCACAGTTACTCTAAGGTCATGAGTTGGCAAATTCAGGCGGTTCTAAGGTCATTAGCAATTAAGCTTTTCACGAGAAACTTGACCAGTCTACACCAGCTGGTGTATTCAGTGCTCGCCCTCTACATGAACAACACCCAAAAATTGCCTCGCGTTAATCGTCGGTCACCATAACACCATGATTTATATTCATTTACAGTACCTTGCGCTACACCATGTCTAAACTTCCAAGGGTCCCCACCCTCGCTTATGCACGGTTCTCAATTAGTTTAAGATCAAGCAAGCACTCCTCTTCGACAGTCTCCTCATGGGATATTAAGACAGTGTTAGCAGTCATTTTTCATCTAAATACAACCACAAGAGACGACAGTTTACGGCTTGTACGATTACTGTAGGGCGCGAGCTTTACTATCCGCCCCCGACAACGACAGCGCAAACTTTATTTCCTACTTTCTTACTTTCCTTCTCAATCTAAATTACTCTGGTCAGCTAAACCTCACCAACGATTGGCCGCCCGGTGGTCGAAAGGACAACTCGGATGTCACCGGTTCGGGCATGCGTAGGGTACTGGGCGACCCTCGCAATAGTCTTAGCCCAGGCGCGACTGGTGGTAGTTGCGTGGCAGCGAAGCATCGCTGCGGCATACTGTTATCTCTATGACAGCTCTTCACCTGATGCGACTGAATAGCATGCACAAGCAGTTTCCCGTCTTCCGAAGCTGCAAAAGACCTTCTAGTGACAATTTGCAGTTCTATTGCAGAAACGCGAGTTGCTGTTGGAAGGATGTCTATGGGAACAACGAGCATCCGTAAGGTACGTCGGGCTCCACCTATTAAGACAATCGCATGCTGCTCCGTACAGTCACCTTTATCTTCTCTTGACGCTGATTCTTCCTATGCCACGTTTGTATCTGTAATATATCGATGCACACATTGTGGAGGTTACCAATAGTGGTCCTTTTCATCGGTTTCAGCTTGGTTTGCTTGTTCATACCGTGCTACTTGCACCTAACGCACCACAATCCTTCATCCTCAAAGTCTCAACGAATCTTACCTTTGCACCGAGTCTTTCCTACCTTCTGGGCTTTAATCCTTTTACGATATTGTCCTGCTGTTTAACGACGTTGTGGTAGACCAGTCAACCGTAAATAACCTCTCTAGAGTGATCTGATCGTTTGAAATGCGGTTCGCGGTTGTTGCTGGATCATTAGTCAGTTGGTGACCCCTTGATCCTTGGTAGCGGGGATCTTGAGTTTGTTGGTCAAATCACTTACCTTGTCAGCTGCATCGGCGACGATGGACACAAGAGTTAGAAGTACTTTCTTGTATCTGCGACATCTTTGATGTCAGAAGGGGTTTCCCATGACTCGATAAGCTGTGTTCAATCCCAAACAGAATGCTATGCTACCCTATGGTAGTGAGACATGACCCATTCGGTTTGTGGATTTGAAGCACATTCTACTCCTTGTCCACGGGGCGTTCCTGGTATCAGATGGCACCAACGTGCTCATTACGGTGATATATGTATGCGAGTGCTAGGCGAAGGTAGTCAGGCTAGTTCTTTGGAACATCAACCAGTGTTGACTAAGTTGCTTTACCTTGAGCAAATGTTACAAATGCTCGGTCACCGCTTACTGAGAAGAGTTGCTTTCTTTACCGAATGTAAGATGGCGCTAGACTCGAGATGGACTACATTTGACTTGGCAGCGGGAAATGAAGTCAATAATGACCAAACTCGGTGCCGTCGATCCGTCTCGCTTTCCAGGCTGGAGTCCACGTTACTCGTCTTGTGCTTAGCACAAGACATGGTTCGCAATCGGCATTAGTACTGCGTTTGCTGTCAGCTTGTAGTCAGCTTAGTTGTTTACAGTGTATCTGATACTGAGCTATCTGCGGTACAATGGCTGGTTATGGCACGGGGCAGTGAAAGCCGCAAGGAAGCTGTCGCGCTGATACCGCATTATCCTTGCACGATGGCCAGCTATTTGTGACTTTATGTTATTGACAAGATTTAGGCGCATTAGGCATGAATGTTTGCTTAGGGCATTAAGGTTTTACGCTAGATCCACCTTCTCTCTTTCTTATTATTCTTTCCGTAGGTCATCTTGATTTTGTGACAGCGATGCGTCAGTTCAGATGACTGATGTTCTGCTGTTTATGATGACGATGCAAAACTGACTTTTTGAATCAAGTCCCAAATAACGGTTGTTCTTGTTTTCTGGCTCCGGCGCGCTACCTTTGTAATGAGCTGCTTGGTACTTTTGAGCACCTTTTACTGACCAGTTTAATTTAACACATTCACTTCACTTTCTTATACTTTGTACCCGCCGACTTTTCGTTATTGATTCAATACCTTATGTAGCTGCAGCATTCTCCTGTTTGTAGCTGAAAATAGAGCTGCGTACTTGTGGTTTCTCAGAATATGACTTAACGAATACGACTCAGGTCACTTGAGCTAGTCACCCATGAGCGTAGACTCTAGGAACGGGAGACCAGGCTGCCTTGACACACGTTGCCATGCTGAGCGCGTTTTGTGTTTCCAACGCTGTCCGTTTAGGTGTCCGCATCATTATGCTCTTCGTAAGACGATTCGCCGTTGTTATTGTGTCCCAGCAGACTGGAGCCGCTCCTTCATAGTCCCAGTTTTCAATTGAGACTCCCGTTCGGAATGCGGTACTCATAGGGGAATCAGTCTGATTCCAATTGCCTCTTCCGGGCTGGAGTCCACGTGACTCGTCTTGTGCTTGGCTCTAAACTTTACAGGACATGGCTCGCAGTAGACACCAGTGGCGCGTCTGCTGCCGTCTCCTAATTGGATTGCCTGTTTAAAGTGGGTTTGGTGCTGAGTTATCTGCGGGGTAATGGCTCATTATGACGCGTGGCAGTGAAAGCCGCAAGGGAGCTGTCTCGCCGATGCCGCCTTATCTTTGCACGATAGCAAGCTGTTCGTGACAGTATGTTGTCTACATTAGGTGTAGGCGCCTTGACCTTGAATGTGTGCTTAGGTCATTAAGGTTTTCAGGTAAGTCCCCCTTCTCTTCCTCTTGTTATTCTTTATTTCATAGGTCTTCATGGTTGTATGGCAGCGAAGCATCAGTTCAAATGGCTGATGTGCTGCTGTTGATGATGATGATGACAATTGCCTCTAACTTACTTGGCTTTGTCGTCCTCCATAGACTAACTGACACCCGTGATAGCCCGATGTGTGAGGAGCAGGCCGGGTTTCGTTGAAATCGAGGCTGCATTGCTCACATCTTCACATCAGGTCTATTGTTAAAGCACCGCCATGTCTATCAGCAACTCACCGTTGTCGTGTTCCTACACAACAAAGAGGCTTTCGATTCGCTTGTTCGATGTGCCCTTTGGGACTGTCTAATGAGGAAGGGTGTGCCCCAGAAATATGTAAATGTCCTAAGAGCGTTGTACGCGCATTGTTCGGACAGAGGGTTTATGGCAAACTTGTGCCGTCCTTCAATATCTCCAACGGTGTGAAACAAGGCTGCACGCTGTCAGCTATCCTATTTTACTTCGCAGTTGACGAAGTGATGGAAACGGCGTCTGCAGGGCACGACTTAGTAGGTGTAGGGTTTCTCCCAGGTGTGTGACTTCTTGATTTGGAGTATACCGATGACAATGTCCTCATTTGTGACAGCTCACAAACGTGCCAAGCTACACTGGATAACTTAGCTCTGGCTGTCAGTCGTTTCGCGCTATGCTTTGCACCCTTGAAATGCAAAGTCCTTCAAGATTGGCAGGGACCGCCTTCTGCGCTGGCTCTTAGTGGGGAGCAACTAGAAGTCGTCTATAAATTTAAGTTTCTGCACAGCTATGTTAGCGCCTGTGGGATCGCAGTTGTGGTTACGAACCGTATAGCACGACCTTGAGGTGCTTTTATTAACCTCTGCCACCTGTGGCCCTGGCGTGACCTCACTCGCTCTGAAGCGCAGATTTTACAATACAGCCGTCCGTTCAAGTCTTCTTTGCCGTTATGAAACCTGGCCCATCAAGTCGACTGACATAAAGTGACTTGTTACGTTCCACCATCACTGCCCTCGAAACTTAGCTCATATCTAGTAGGAACACCGCGTGATCAATGAGCGTGTTCGACGTCGCGTATTTGCTGCCGGAAGAGCCAGGAAACCGCTCAGCATCACTATGTCACGCACCAGACTCCAATGGTTGGACTACGTATTGCGCACGCCAGTCCACCGACTCCCGCGTCGTGCGTTGTTTGCGCGCCTGGGGTGTGGATGGAAGAAGATGAGAGGAGGCCAAATGATGACTGTCAAGAGAGATGAAGTCTATCACTCCGAAGTTGGTATCGGTTGGTGTTTGCTGACTGCCAGGCTGGCGACCGAATGATGATAGCACGTTTGGTTGGATACACTAACTGATATGCCGAGGAACCGAGTTCAGAGGCATGTTGTGAGTCTGTCCCTCCCCGCATGTTTAGCTTCCTCCTCCAACAACGTCCTCAATCCACTGCATAATGTGATTTTAACATTATGTTACTTTTTGTAGCTTTTGTAGTCTTCAATGTTTAATGTCTTACTTTTTGTTTTGTGGCACGTTAGCTGAGGTATGTTTCCCACCCTCGGCTAACGTGTATGATGATGATTATGATCTTGCATACTTGTTAGTACTCGCCTGATTTTCCGTTTGTGTACAGATGCGGTACCATACATTCAACGTTGGGGAACCGAATCATCACTTCGAACGGATGCTGAATAAGTGCATCGGGATACAAAACAAATCTTTACACACGAACGACTCTGCGTCTCCTCGTGTTCGCGTTTTGGGTTCACCAGCTAGTGATGTGCCTTCTGTCACTACACCTTCGTTGGACTACTTTCAACCTGATACCAGTCATCCTTCGCAACAGATCAGGGATGATGATGTGGACTCGAGTACACCCTCATCTTGTGACGAACTTGACGAGTCTCCAGTGAATGCTCTGCCCACCGAGACTACACTTGGCCATCGCCCGTATCGAACACGTCCACCCCCTTCAGCTGTGCAAGTCGGAGTCGTCTGGCGTGCGGATCAGCGTACTAATTCAGCTGATCTTGTTGACTCTCTCAATCAGATGGAACCACCAGTGCCGCCCGTTCGAAGCACCTCCGGTTCTCATGCGAAGCACTACTTGTTAACTAGTACCACAGATAATGCGCCTGGCCAACCGCAGGATGGCTTGACAACTGTGACCGGTCGAATGGTAAGCTTTGTCAGTGTTTGCTTACTATCAGCAACTCGCGTCCCTGCATCTTATTTTCTAATTTGCGAGTGCGCTTATACTAACGTAGGTTTAAGTGTCATTTATCTCCTTGTCGTCTAGAATGCATTTTGTGCTGTGTAACACTTTTTAACAAATATTTTTTCCATGAGATAAGTCCGGATGAGGAAGTAGAACAGGCGAAAGTGGTGTTCGTTATCTATCTAATTGGTCAATACACTCTTTCTGACATGCCTACTATTCACTGATTGTTCCCAGTGGATTTATTTAAACCAAAGATTGATACGGATGTTTAATCGAAAGGCCGAATGGATAAACCGCGCTGTCATTGACGGTGGTAGAATAAGTGCAATTGGAGCGTACCTTGTTACGTCATTTCCATCGTCAACCAATGGTTAGCGTGCACAAATCAAACAAGAATAATCATGCTATTGTGGCCCACATCCGTCATCAAATGATCATTTGCTTTGTACCCGTGGTGCTTTTTTTTGCACCTTCAGAGCCACTCATACCAGATTGGTCAATGGTTAGAGGCCAGACAAACTCAGCCTCCTGGTCCTCCAGGTTGGGGGTTGGAATGGGGGTGGTTCCTCATTTCATAAAACGGGCTCCGTAGTCCAGTGCCAAAACCCGCTGTCTTGCGGTAAGGTTTTTGAACCAAAGGCTTTGATTGAGAACCCTAATCGTTCTCCTGTCTAGGCCTGGGCAACCTGACAGTATTCTGCCCACGCAATACAATGAAACTTTCCTACAACAATTTCTTGATGCTCTGGCCGTCGCAGAGGATAATAAACGGCGCCCTATCTGCTGCATCGAGCTGGGTGGATAGGGGTTTGGATGCTACTGCTCAGGCCTTCCCGTCTTCTTATACCCCTTCTTGCGCTTCTTCATCCTTATCGTCCCGCTCCAACTTTACTTATATCCCCCCATTTTCAATCCCCCAATTCTTGGCCCTCCCCCAGCTTACTTCAATATTCGCTTGTCTTCTAATTTTAAATCACACACAATCGCACTGCGTCGCTCCAATGCAGTCGACAAGTGCATGTTCAACCAAGCGGACAACGTCAGTTCATCCGTTTCCCTTTGGAGTCCTCGCGTCCCGCTAAGACTGGCATGCCTCAACGTGCGCACTTTGCTGCAGATTGGCCAACAGGCAGCACTTGCCCGCACACTAGAGACCCTATCGATCGATATTTGTTGTTTATCAGAAACCTGCCTGCAAGCTTCGAGCTCCTTGCTTACTCTGCGATCCCCCACATACGACACTGGCGGCACATTCTCATTGCACCTGTCTGACGATGATGCAGCTTCGAATGCCGGTCAAGCTGGCATCGGCATTGTTTTGAGTCCCCGGGCTGAAGCTGCCCTGATCGATTGGATCCCAGTAACCAGTTGAATGTGCGCCGTTAGATTAGCTGGTTCGTTCCGTGTTACGAAGTCGCGCGGAGACAAACGTTGCCTGTTTGTCATTGCGGCTTACGCCCCTACAAACTGTAGCACTGATTCGGTGAAAGATGATTTCTATCAGCAACTTCACGAGCTCCTTCGTTACAGAAGAAGCACGGATACTGTGGTGTTGGCTGGTGATCTAAACGCCCAAGTCGGAAAATTGTCCTCTGATGAGCTTCATCTGCGTGGCCAACATGGTGTGGGCTGCCGTAGTGATAATGGTGAGCGATTGCTACAGCTGTGTGAAGATGCTGGCCTCTTTCTCGCGAGCACTAACTTTTGACACAGCACCCGCGGAAGCGTGACTTGGCGGTCACCAACCTCGGGCCAACCATGGACGCAAATCGGTCATATCGCGATCAGTTACCGCTGGAGAGGCTGTGTCCAAAATTGTCGCTCGATTTGGAGCACGAGCGTGGACTCTGACCACGCACTTGTCTGTGCCGACCTCCTGGTGCGTTTCGGTGGACGTTCGCAACGTCGATGTGAACAAATTGACACCAGCCAGCTGGCGAAGCCATATGTTCTGAATGTGTACCAAAGTGCGCTGACATCTGGGCTGAGTACGCGCCCACTAAACACCGTTGAAGATCACTGGTCGCATATTCCTCAAACGTTACTGTTAGCAGGCATGTCTTCATGTGGCAAAGCAAATTGCCAAACCGGACATTGGGTCTCTACACAGTCTCTGGAACTTATGGATGCTTGCCGACGTATTCCGGCTTGAAGCAAATACAATGAGGCTCGCAAAAATCTCAGGGCAAAACTACGTGCTAGCCTGAAGAAGGACCTCGAAACCTGGTGGTCTCATCGTGCCTCTGAGATGGAAACAGCCGCTGCCGTTGGTAATCATCGTAAGTTATTCCGTCTGATACGGGAAACAGGCAGCAGGAAACCAGGTATTAGCGATGCCATGCGCGACGAGAGTGGGCAGCCGATCCACACCCTGTCAAAAGGCTTGGAGCGTTGGGTTGAACACTTTGCTATGGCAATTTAACCAACCGGAGTTATCGCTTTCTTCTTCGGTCATTGAGTGACCTTTCTCTTGGGCCGTCTCCTCGGATCCGCCCTCACGCGCTGAAGTCGAACGTGAGATCAGGCTGTTGAAATTGCATAAGACCGCAGGGGCAGATAGAATTCCCCCAGCCCACTTCAAATTCGGGGGACATGCTCTAGCAGTTGATCTACACGAGTTGCTAGTAAAAATTTGGGAGCAGGAGACAGTCCCGACAGACTGGAACCGCCCCGTCATTGTTCAGACTTTTCAAGGGAGGCTCCCGTTTAGAATGCGGCAATCATAGAGGGATCAGTCTGATTTCGATTGCCTCTAAATTGCTTGCCTCTGTCATTTTCCCCAGACTGAGTGGCACTCGTGAAAGCCAGATTCGTGAAGAGCAAGCCGGATTTCGTCGAGGTAGGGGCTGCATCGACCACATCTTCACATTGCGTCAAGTGTTGGAGCACCGTCATGTTTATTGGCGACCCACCGTTGTCGTGTTTCTTGACATAAAAGGTGCCTTCGACCCAGTCGATCGATGTGCGCTTTGGGGCTGTCTGCTGAGGAAAGGTGTGCCTGATAAATATGTAAACATTATCAAAGCGCTGTACGCGCATAGTTCGGGCAGGGTGAGGGTTTTTGGCAAACTCTCGCCACCCTTCAGTATCACCAGCGGTGTGAGACAAGGATGCCCGCTGTCACCTTTCCTCTTTAACTTCGCTATTGATAAAGTCATGGAAACAGCGTTCGCTGGACACGACCTAGAAGGTGTGGAGCTGCTTCCTGGTGAGCGACTTCTTGACTTGGAGTATGCGGACGATATTGCCCTAATCTGTGACAGCCCCCAAACATGCAGAGCAGCACTGGACCGATTAGCACTGGCTGTCGTTTTGGGCTATGCTTTGCTCCATCGAAATGCAAAGTACTTCTCCAAGATTGGCAGGGACCCAACCCTGCGCTAACGCTTGGTGGTGATCTGCTAGAAGTCGTTCAGGAATTCAAGTACCTGAGCAGCTATATTAGCACTCGTGGGATTGAAGATGAGGTTACGAACCGTATAGCAAAAGCTCGAGGTGCTTTTGCCAATCTCCGCCACCTGTGGCGCAGACGCGACATTGCTGTCGCCCTGAAGGACAGAGTTTATAATGCGGCCGTCCGTTCAGCCCTCTTATACAGCTGTGAAACCTGGTCCATCAGGTCGACAAACATGAAGAGGCTCGTCACATTCGATCATCGTTGCCTTCGCAGCTTAGCTCATGTCTGGTGGGAACATTGCGTGAGCAATGAGCGTGTTCGACGTCGCGTATTTGGTGCAGGAAGAGCGAGTGAACCGCTCAGCACCATTATATCACGCACCAGGCTCCGATGGCTGGGCCACGTGTTGTGCATGTCAGCACACCGACTCCCGCGACGTGCATTGTTTGCGCGTTGTGGGTGCGGTTGGAAGAGGAGGAGGGGAGGCCAAGTGATGACTTGGTCGAGAGAAATGAAAACCCTCACTTCGAAGTTGGCATCGGTTGGTGCATCCCGACTGCCTGGCTGGGGTCCTAAGGACGGTGAACACGTTTGGTTGGACACACTTGCTGATATAGCTCGGAGCCGGCATCAATGGCGTTTGTGTTGTGATTTCCTTTGTCCATCTTCTCCTGTTTAGCATCCACATCCACTCACGATCTTACTTGTTAGGCATAATACGAGTTTCTTTTACGGCAGCCAGCTGTTACCTCTCCGGAATGATGTCCATCCGTTACTGGGGACTCAGCGGGCGTGCCACTGTTTGCCACTGTTTTCCTTTTCTTGTCTTTTGTATTGCGGCACAATAGCTGAGGTGTTTTCCACTTCCAGCTAACGTGTAATGGTGATGATGATGACCCGTTAACCTTTGCTTGTGAAATGGATGTACGTAGGTTCCCCTCTTTTTTAATTGATCTACTACGGTGTGATTTTAACCAACTTTTTCCGGTTTTGTTTTCATTGATTTATAACAGCGAGATTAGCACTCCCTTTTCTTGGCGTACACCAAGCTGGACATTGTCACGCGTGATACACCACTGTACCACCGTGATAATTGTCGTTCGAGCTAATGTTGCCCATTGTTTTAAGACAGTGAACTTCAAAACCCTTGCGTTTCAATATATCGGTCTCCAGTGTGTTTTGTGGGATGTACTCTGTTTACCATTAGCATAAGCCCCTTCCTTGTTAGAGCTGTTGATGTGAACTCCACGAAACTAACATTAACGGTCCAATGACATGGAAGTCATCAACAAGTTCGTGCAGATGAGTCTTGCTTCAGTTGCTCAGCGGCTGGACGTCCTGTCACAGTGAGAGCCATTCCCATCTGTGACAGCGGTATATGACTGTTTCGACCGGAGGACACGAACCACGTTCAAGCTTGACCATCGTTCCTGGAGGATTATTTTTGGTACCAGTGTCACTTGCCTGTCTTCAACAGTGTGGTGTAACAAGGAGTTCTAAGTGGTGCTTGTCAGGTTTGTTACTTGCAGTAACAAGTAACATTTAATGTACCGCGTTGATC